GGCCTACCTTTGTCTCGTAGGCCTAGCTGTTGCGCCTGAAACGACCTTCGCCCGAAACTCGAACTCCCTCTTTTTTATTTATTTGTCTAAGGGGTTGGGAAGGAACGGGAGCGTCGGGAAGGGCCTTTTCGAGAGCCTTTTCGACCCGTTTTCCCCGTTTGTTTCACGACTCGGGACGTCGAGTTGGAGCAAGGGAATTTCCCCCGTGCGAATGCTCTTATCTCGGCCGCGCTTGTTATTTTCTGTGGAATTGCGGCCCGATAAGGCATCAGGTGGGAGGATATCCAGTGATTTGTGAGCCTTTTTCGGTTGTTGTGTGTTTATGTCGAATTTATCACGTGTGAGAGAGGGGTTGACAAAGCATACTGTGAGGAGAGATTTCTTGTTGGATGGTGTAACATTGGATTCATAGGAGCTAGTTTTGCTCATTAATAAATCTAACATACAATGAGGTAAATACTTGAGAATTAGTCTTGGCAATTTACGAATGTTACTTACAATAAGGTAAATACACAAGAACTGGCCTAGGTAATAAACAAGTGGAATGTGTAATAAGCTAAATGAATAAGAACTAGTCAAGGCAATTAATAAGTCTGGTTAATGTTATAAGGGCAATGCACAGAGAGAGAGGGAAGTGGACACTAAAATCTTATAGAGCATAAGATACAGAATCACAAACAAGAGGTACAGCTGCTGTGGCTTCACAGTTACAGTGAAATGACAAAAATATCTGTTGCACATCACCGTACAGCCACAACACCCTCACACAGCCAGAGTTCAGAATGCCGTGTTTTCTATTCGTCTTTTCTGCAAGTTGACACAAAGTGCCAATAAAGGGGGTTACGTGTTTAGGAAATGGATGAAAGGTAGGAAAGGTTAGGTTTCGATTTTTGGCTTCACCTAATACCCCAATGTTAGGTATGTGCGATTATATAAAAGATTATAAAAAAATTGGTTTTGGGACTTGCTTTCTCCATTGCTGTCAGTAACAGATGAGTCATAAATCTAACTTTCAGTGAGGTAGATACAGAAGAACAAGTTAGACAATTAATGAATCGGTAATTGTTACCAAGAGAACACACCATCCAGACACAAAAGTCCCAAATTCAGGGTGTCATTTGAACCCAAACACACAACCTAGCCATTCTTACCTTCTATTCATTCCCTACACAGGGGGGAAAGTCCCCCTGTACCCCCCATTCATTAGCACTTCATGCCAACCTGTAGAAAACAGATATTAAGAACTCTGGCTATGTGAGGTTATGGGGCAGTGATGTGCAGAGGACATTTTCTTCATTTACTGATAAATATGAGGCTGAAGCAGCTTAAACTTTTTTGTTTCTTATTCCATTTCTAACACGCTATGTGATGGCGTTTTCCATTTCCCACGATTGCCGTGCGTTGCTCTCAGTAACCTATAGTGTGTACAAGCTTGCACCATATTGAATACAAATTAATGGATGTTTGTGTGTGCTCTTGTTGGTAAGAGTTTATTACCGAGCATGAAAAGAATAAATTGAAGATTGTTAGAATATTAATGATGTGTGTTTGTCAATTATATTGAATGCCTATTGTTGAAGGTTTTATTTTATGGAAGTATACTAGAAATCCGAATTTATATTCAACTATATCAATACATAATTTGTAGTTTGTAGTATTTTACCTTATTATTTGGGAGCAACAGTTGGCAAGGACATGGGTATATAAAGAAAGCAAACTATACTCTTATAGATGACTGAAAACCTGTGAATATTTACTTTGACTATTGGTCCAGTGTTTTAGTATAGGCTTGTTCACTTACAAAGTAACATTTACCTTTTTTGTAATTTATGACTAGGCCTAAATATTGCCATCAACATCAAGTCCAATAGTTTTATTCTTTGATAAGGCCAAAGTTCAAAGTCTTTTTTGTTTGTATACTTTGATCTACAAATAGTAGTAGTGTGTTATTAATGTTATCCTGATATGTAAAATATGGTTTGAGTTTTTTTCTTGTCTTCTCTTTCTGCCTACTGTTTTTTTTGCTTTCTAATACTTTCTCTCTCTGTTTTTTATTCTCTCTTCTTTCTTTCTCTTCCCTTCCTTTCTCGTTCTCTTTTTTTCCTTTTTCTCACCTTGCTTTCATCTTTCTCATTTTGCTTATTTCATCATAACACCTCTTCATATTTTGTGGTGTTCTTTGGGCCTTGTATAGTATCAGTTTTTATTATTGATTAGAAAATCAACAGGAAGCAAAATATATCAGACTTTCGGAATTGCTCTTCTTTCAAATTGCTTTGCCTGTCAGATTGCCAATGTTTGTTTTGGAAATTGGTAAGAAATTTGTTATTTGGGAAACGTGGAAAATGGTTAATGCTTAATTTTTGGGAGTGAAAAAGATTATATTTTTGCTTGTTTGTTCTTATAGGCTTGGCATTTGTGACAGGTTACTTTACTATGTCGTTTGCATGTATTATGGGAGTTCATATTATTCTTGTGTGTGTTGGATGTTAGGGAGAAGCTATTTAGGAGGGCAATGGATATTTATTTAATTTGTTTATTTTTTGTTTATTGTTTATTCTTCTTCTTGTTTGTTATTATTATTATTATTGATTAAAAGGTGGAAATAGCTTTATTGTACAGGATTTGTGATTCAGTTGACTTAGAAGGTGGATCAAGTAACCAATGTAATCAGCTGTTAGCCTCTTGCCACCAGCGTCCGTTATACATGTCTTGGTGATTTTGATGTCTGGTGAAAACGTCACAAGCCCCAAGCAAGTTAAAGGGTATCTGGCATCTGTGGTTAAGATGGTGTGGGTCTTGTTTGATATCCCACACTACTGCATGCCACCCCTGACCAACTTGTTCCAGATGAAATTTGCCACAAAATGCAATGGGAGTAAATCATTTTTTACTCTAAAAAACAATGATGGAGTTGGATCAAACTTGTGTCAAGGGACTTGCATATATGTTGTGAATAGTACTGCATGAAGAAGCTGCATGGAAACTCTTAGCTCAGCCAGGAAATTGCTGTATGAGCATAGATCCATGGGCTTTTGTTAACGTTTGTGGGCATGGCTTTTACTTTCTACTGATTCTTTTTCGTATCTGTTAGTATTCCATAGATGGTCTTGAAAATCAAAACTTCAGTTTTTCTTGATCTTTATGTAGTTTTGTTGCAAGATTAATCCCAATAATACACTGTAATAACTTTTATTTTGTAAGATTTATTGTTTGCCATTGAGAGCTATGCAGTGATGGTGTGTGGTGTCCTGTTGTTGAGAAGCTATAAAAAATTTGTCTTGTTTGATTTGTTATTTTTGTTATTAATGTTATCATTGTTATCATTGTTCTTTAAGATTTAGAATGAGAGTAGTAGTAGTTAGAAAAAGCTCTGATGTCTGGGGTTCTTTGATAATATTTATACTCGATGGAAAGTTAGCAGTCGCTTTGTTTTTAAAATGATTCTAATGCTTGACTATCGCTCTCATCTGTGGAATAACTACATAATGATCCTCTCCTGGGAGGGATGTCCTTGTATCATGTCTTGTTTTTGGCCTTTATTTGCACGAGAACTATATCATGAAATAGCAACACCCATCAGTAATTGGTTTGATGTACAACACACTGTTTAGGGATGATTCAAAATATACTTAGGATTTCTGACTGACACTATTGGCTGAACCTGTACACTCCAACCTAAGTTTCCAAGATCGTTATTGTCAGTGTGTGCTATTATCCAGTAAAACTGTGATTTCTCAAATAATTCTCCTTCACCATCGACTTTTCTACTATTCATAGGGTAACGTCAAACAAAGCCTTACTGCTTCCTATATATTCTTTGTGTGCTTCCTTTACATATGTGCAAATATGAAAATTGTGTAATGAAAACATGGAAATGATATCCAATATCTTGTGCTATTATAAATGGCATCTTACTGCTTAAGGATATAGCAAGCAGCTTTGAGCCATGACGGAACCCAGAGGGATCCATATCTCGAATGCATTTACAGGTTCCACTTTTGCAAATATGTGGTCGTGTCAGATATTGTACACTGGAGTATCAGTGTTTAAAGAATTATTGTAGGACAAACACATTTGAATTAAAATGAAGTCATTTGTTGTAATCAAAGGGATTAGAAGGAAATTGCACTTTGTTCATGTCTGTTTTTCTCTTTAAATCATTGAATGTGTATTTAGATATATATAAAGTGTAAAAATGATGCATATCTTGGGGCAACTCTGTGGCTTGTGGAGGGAAAACAAGGAAGAGCAAAAGAGAAGGTACTTAGCATCATGAAATATGCCAAACAATGCCAGAATTATTCCTTCACTCTCACTACATTCCATTTACAAAAAAATGGGTGGGAACACAACTGTACAAACAATGCCAACAGATTATATCTATTTATACTAAACATGTTTAATTGACGATGAAAATAATATTGGCCAGACTTTGATAGCATGTGCATGTTAGATGAATGATACTTCTTGCACATGATACAGCAAATTATGACCTGATGCGTCCCGTCCCATGTATGGACCAAATACCTGACATTAGGCATACTTTAGTAGGGACTCTACTTGGTGTGGGTTGTAGGGCAGGCCAACAAGAGTCCTGGCCTGCTCTTTGTAATGCTGTATCAAGATGAATAGACTGTTTTCCTTGTTCAGACTCCATATCTCTCTAGGTAGTCTACAACTTGTTGTGAGAATGATAACAAAATTATGTATGCATGGAAATGGTGTCCTCCCCTGAGCTGGCCCTCTTTCAAGCATAACTAATGGATGGTACATTCTACCCTGTTTACCGGTGATGATACAAGATGGTTGTGTTCTCTGCACAATGTTCCTATCATCTGCCAATTGGCAATTATATCTCATGACGAGTCATTCTATAGCACATTCCCATCACCCAGCCTTCGGCCAAATTTTTTCATGACCCAGAGTGCATATCACCTGGATCAATGGGTGGGGGGATGAATCAAAATTACCCATTCCACAATCTTTGCACGAAAAAA